TACAGACAGTTCATGGAGGGGAAAAAAAAAGGATACCCTCATAGCTCCTGTATAAATTTCCTCCTTGGAAAATGACTCAGAAGTACAGGTCTGACAGGGAGGGGAATACTTGTTCAGCAGCTCTTAAAGGATGTTAATCCTTCAGGGAAAATCCAAACCACAGGTTCCCAGTATGATTTTTGACTTAACCTTGGTGGACTTCAGTTTCCTTACTTATAAAATTAGGGGGCCTGACCTAAGTTAGGGGACCTCTAAGGTCTCATCCACCTTTAGATTTACGATTTTCAACTCACCTAGGTGGTACAGTGTACATCATGCTGGATTTGGAGTCAAGAAGAATCGAGTTCAAATGGTGCCACAGAAACTTACTTAGCTGTGTGACCCAGCGCAAGTCACTTAACCTCTTAGCCTTAGTTTCCTCATCTGTAAAATGGGGATAATAGTACTGACCCTACAGGGCTGTCTTGAGGATCGAATGAGAGCAGGGTTTTGCCAACCTTAAAGCATTCTATAAATGCTCACTCATTTTTATGACAATAACTCAGAACCCAATAGATTGTCCTCCCACCTCTCCCACTGCTTACTAATCTTTAATTGCCCCTTTTAACCTCCTGATCTTTGACTACTCCCTAGCTGACCAGGCTCTCAAATCCATTTTATTTCCATTTGCCTCCCTACCCAGCCTGGGATCCAGGTTCAGACATTTCAGCTCACTCACCACCTCAAATCAGCCTCTTTCCTTCCTCTTTCTCCCCGTCCTCCCTTTCTTCTGTTCAAGCTTTGTTTAGTCTCAGTCCTGGGCAACACATGGTTTGAATTCTAAATTTCCATTCCTGAACTGCCAAAGCATTTTGTGCCCCTGGTCAAGAAGCTCAGAGGCTCCCTAGTGCCTTAGCCTGGCATGAAAACCCCTTCACAATCTGGCCGCAGTCTGTTTTTACAGATTTCATAATCTCCCTCATGCACTTTAGGCTCCAAACTGACCCCCCTACTCTTCCCCCACAAACATTTCACCTCTCACCTCTCCACTTTTGCCCCGGCTCAACCTCATACCTGGACCCCACTCCATTCTCACCTCTGCCTCTTATGCTTCCTAGCATCCTTTAAGGCTCAGCTACCTAACACAAAGCCTTTCCTGGTAGCTGTCAGTTCTCTTTCCTCTGTCCAAAATTACTTTGGAGAGACTTTGCTTAATAAATGCTGGCTGAATGAATGAAATGAATGACAGCTCCATTTATCATCCCCTTCAATCGGTCTCCTGTGGGCTACACACACACACACACACACACACACACACACACACACACACACACA